CAGTTATCTGGGTTTGTAGACAGACCAGTAAGTGACTGGCAGGTTATCTGGATTTGTAGACAGGTCTGTAAGATACTGGCCAGTTATCTGGATTTGTAGACAGACCAGTAAGTGACTGGCAGGTTATCTGGATTTGTAGACAGGTCTGTAAGAGACTGGCCAGTTATCTGGGTTTGTAGACAGACCAGTAAGAGACTGGCAGGTTATCTGGATTTGTAGACAGACCAGTAAGAGACTGGCCAGTTATCTGGATTTGTAGACAGACCTGTAAGTGACTGGCAGGTTATCTGGATTTGTAGACAGATCAGTACGAGACTGGCAGGTTATCTGGATTTGTAGACAGACCAGTAAGAGACTGGCAGGTTATCTGGATTTGTAGACAGACCAGTAAGAGACTGGCAGGTTATCTGGATTTGTAGACAGACCAGTAAGAGACTGGCCAGTTATCTGGGTTTGTAGACAGACCAGTAAGAGACTGGCCAGTTATCTGGATTTGTAGACAGACCAGTAAGTGACTGGCAGGTTATCTGGATTTGTAGACAGACCAGTAAGAGACTGGCAGGTTATCTGGATTTGTAGACAGACCAGTAAGAGACTGGCAGGTTATCTTGATTTGTAGACAGACCTGTAATTCATCTGATTTCTCATTTCAGCTAAAAGACACTACAGTCTATGAGGAGAGGAAGAAAATTCGTGCTGCCATTCGAGAATTGAGAAAAACCAGAGGTTGGTAAATTGAAGCAATTTGTTTTGAAAGGATATCAAATCTAGTACTTCACTAGCAATGATTAAAGAAATTCAGAGCCATAGAGGGCGCTGCTCACACAGAAAGCCTTTTACCCAATCCTGAATGTTTTATGAACTACTTTCTATTGTGTAGTACGAAACTCATTTTGAATCAGTGGATCTAAAATTATGCAAAAATAGCTCTTTTGTGATCTGCTAGTTTATTTTAGAGAATTACTAGTATATCAATGGAAGCCATTGCACCAATGACCATTGCTCTTATTTCTATACTCAAATTTTAAAAATGATTGAAAACTGTCAGTCACAGTCTATATGGTTTTCACTTGTATTTTACCACATAAAATTTAGACATATGTTTATACTACAGAAACCAATAGTAAAAAAATTTAAGTGCAAGCCCCCTTTTTTTTAATTTATAGTCATCAGTTTCTAAAAAACAAGTTAGGTTGCTAACCTCAAAGGATATTATCCAGCATAATGAAATTTGAACACATTCTTGGAATTATTTCGTGTCTGTATGAATGCATCCTATCATCTGGGATATGTTTGTAAACTAAGTAATTTAGTTACAAGACCTGTTTATATAAATGTCCTACATTCAAGCTTTCATAGTACGTATACATCACCATTGTTACATGTTCAGTAAATGGCAGACTGTGCTCTCCTGTATCTTAGCTTTCAGAATATATGTAGCATTATTGTCACATTATAGGTTGATATAGAGGTAGATAAAAATAAACATTTAACACAAATGAATGGATATTTAGAGTTCATTAATTAAATAGATTTACAAGATCATGAACCAACATTGCCCTACTGTTGATAATAAAATTCCTCTGCACTTAGCAAAAAAAAACATACATTGACAGAGTTACTAAGTTTCCTGATATCCAAGCTTTCAGAATATGTATAATTGTTCAGATTTCACTACTCAATTATGAATCATTACTAATTGATGCACACATGCATGTAATCATAGATCAGACCAAGTCAATGACACCGGAGGGATCCCCTGTGGCCCGTAGAACAAGAAGACTTATGCAAGCCCAGGAAGAGAAAACTGAGACATCAACTCGTAAAGAGGATACTAAAGACGAAAGCAACTCGCAAAGAACCTCAACGTCAAGACCACAAAGAAACGAGGAAGAAAAGGTCAAAGATGGAGGACAGAAATCCGCTGAGAATATTGAAAAGATTAGTGAAATTCAAGATGAGAATGTGCTAAAACAGATGGTTAGTACTGTTACATCTACAGTAGATGTTAGTATTATTACGTTATTATGATAATTGTTTGCACAAAGCCAATACAGGGAGCATATTCACTGACACATAACGTAGCGTAGTATGAACGTTTGTCTTCAGTGTCCAACGTAATGACCTTGAATGCATCAATGTTGAAGATGTAGTTTACACCACTTAAGGACATATTTTAATGAATACTGATATGTTTTTGGAACAAGTGTTAATAAGGCCTTTTACAGAACAGTGATTATTATTGTTTTCGATAATAGATTTATAATAATGAATCATATATGATGGCTATTGAGATGTCTGGTTAAGGTCAAATGCAGTTTGATTTGTATTATAGTGTATTTGATAATGACGAGACAAATCCAATATCAGTAGTAAATTTTACTAATTATTATCAAAAACAAGCTGCCATTAATGGCCTTTAATGCTGTGAAAACATGATTGGGGTCATTTTAATAATGGTAACAAAAGTTAACTTTAGTCGACTAACATTGATTACAGCTGAAAGATACAGATAACTATGATGAAAGGAAGAAAATAAGAATCACACTGAGGGAGCTTCGAAGGAAAAACAGAGGTAGGTTTGAATATTATTTCACTCACTTTCAGTAATTGGCAGTGTCTGAACATTCTGGACAATGTCACATGTCACAATATCTCAAACTCGTGTATCAAAAAAAATTATTGGTGTTAATGATCAAAACAGGACCAAAAAATGTATTTCCTTGGCTTTAAGTGGTGTATGTGTATTTAAAATTATAAATAGTACCAAAAACAGTTTCATCCATGTTCAGCTATTTGAAACTGCATTTGAATTTTGCTGCAGAAAAAGAAGATGAAAGCAAAGATGAGGGTACCCACTCCTCTACTGTTCTTGTTCAACTTGAAAACAAAGAAGTGGAGAAGAGAAATGGTGAAGTGAAAATTGCTGAGATAGCTATCAATCCAGTCTCTCAAAACAGTGATGTGAAAACCAACACACCTCTTATGTCAATTAAAACGCATGCGAAGACAAAACTGGACAAGTTTGAGATGCCGTCAATTGCCCCACGCAAGCTTCCAGTGGAGGATAAAATTGAAGATAAAACAGAAGACCAAGATGATAATACAAAAGGGAGAAACACAATCAGCATTGAACTTTGCAATAATGACAACCAAGAGAAGTTGATAAAAACTACCTCCACTGTTAATTCTAGCAATAAAGGCATGCTGGGAAATAGAGTCCCTGAACCAAAGAAGATAGAACTACAAATCACCAATAAAGATGAGAATTCATTTGAAGAAATTGAGGATTTAGAAATCTTGGAAAACATGGTAAGAATTTTTAATATTTTGACTTGCCTGTGAGGAAATTATGATGAGTTGATATTAATGTTTTATCAATAACTTGTTTAATTTTTTAGTTGTTGTCAGCAAAGAAGACTGATGTCAGGCTGAAAATAAGAAGTCATATACGGGATGTGAAGAAAAGAAAAGCAGGTATTTATATTTTTGAGTTATTCTACTCTGAGAATTCATATTTTGACTCGCTATGTTATGATACCATGTAAAAGGAGTGGTATTACTGCAACAAAGATGTTAGCAGGAAATGGCTGTTGCAAGTTGTTCATCATTTCATCAGAGCCCTCAACGGTTATCTTGACAAAAACTTTTGTTTATGTCAGGCTGAATAATTTATAGATTAGGCCTGTAGAGGGCTATATCGTTGAACCGTCTTTTAAGATTGATGCCTCATGGGAAATGAATTTACAAATTTAAACTTTTTATTAACAATCTGGGTGGACTAATTTAAAATATGGTTGCAATCTTCAGATGAGATTCCAGATAAAACAACGACTGAAGATGATGGTACGAGGAATACATGCGAAGGTACCAATGCAATCTACTGCATGCTATAAATATTGCTAAAACCATGCATGTAAAGTGTGGAAGCTATGCCATGCACCCTCACATTGTCCTTGTTCACCATGTATTCAGAACACCTAGCTACCCTTAGTTACAATGAGAATGGTGTGTACCCAAGTGTGAATCATTTTTATGCTGATAGTGCTAGTGAAATGTAGACAACTAGTGTAGCAACTAGTGAGTTTCACCCATAAGCCCCCCTTCACCCATATCCCACCCAACCCACAAGTAGCCACCCAGTCACGTTATCACCCTCCTCTCATTATGCCATCACCCAATCCAATTTACCACCACCTTTTTTGATTGGTTCTTATACAATGCATCTTGGTAAAAATTTCAAATTATTCTTATCTATTTCATGATGTCATAACTATAATCTGTGTAATAATAAAAATATTCTTAATTAGGATTATTCAGATCAAAAAGTATGAAAACATTAATATTAGGTCTTAACCATTTAAACTGATTAATAATGATTGAAGTATAATAGATTTGTCGTTGTTTATACAGCACATAAACTTAAGGTGGCATCTTTGCTATAAGCCTACAGCCTATAAACTTAAGGGGCACCTGTGCTATGAACTTGAGGCCCATAAATATAAGGGGCATCTGTGCAATAAGCTTAATAACACATAAATTAGAATACACAATAAAAAGCAGATTAATAGTTCAAGCAATGTAGTACCCATGATTCACTGGTGCAATCCCTTGGATTGACAGCTTCTCCTGGTGATGACTGATAATATAAATAGAAAGCACTAAACATAATTACGTAATTTTTTTTGTGGTGGGAAAACACCATGAAGTTAATATCCATGTTGAGATGTTTTGTTGAAAAAAAAGAAAAACATTTATATTTTTTACAGCATTAAAATTGTTGAATATTGAAAGAAAGGAGGAGAAACCTATCACCAAGACAACAACAGCAGTAATGACCTTGAGGGAACCATCCAAAATCGGGGAAAATATTCGTAGAGAGGCTGTGCACGTTGAAAAAACTAACGTAGGAGTGAGGAAAACATCCCGAACTACATTCACCTTGTCAAGCGCATCTAAAAGCTCAAACATTGAAATGAAACTTGCAACTGATGAAGACACTTGCAAAACAAGCGTTGTTACTAAGACAGTTTCCATGGATACCAAAACACAATCTGACTTCGATGATTTGAATTTCATTGTTGAAAACAAACTTGTTGTGGATGATGACAATGCTAAAAGTATTAATTTTGAAATCAAACCACAGACTCTTGTTGCTAACAGTTCAAACGCTGTTAAAGTTACACTACGACCTACAACCGATGTTTCGGGTGAAGTCGATGGATTATTATTATCCAAGACCGCTGCCATTAATTTACAGCCACAACACAAAGGTGAGAAAGCACCAAGGAAGAGTACTTTAAAACATTTCTTTTCTTTTTTAAACTTAATTAAAACATTAATCCCTTTCTATATGTACCTTTTTTCTTATTAAAAAATGATTTATCCCACTAATTGATTTAACAGATGATAGGATTTTAAAACTTAAACCTAAAAATAAATTTAATTTAGTGTAAATGCTTAAGTAAAATTGTGATTGAAATAAAAATGCACAATAATACAAGTTTGACAGGCAGTTTTGATGCTTTAACTGTAGGAACTACCACTGCCAAAACTGGATTAAAAATCAAGTTGGATTCAGAACTGTCAGAGACAGTGGAGACCAAACATACAAGTATTGATAAGGTAAGATTAAACAATTCTATTTTTATACAAGGTATCTCACACATGTCTTGAGCACTGTTGTGACCATTGTGAAGACCATATAGAGGCCATTGTGAAGACCAAAACTGAAATATAGCGATCATTGCGAAGGCCAAACCTGTTGTGAATGTCAAACCCATTGTGAAGGCCAAACCCATTGTGAATGTCAAACTTGTTGCAAAGGCCAAACCCATTGTGAATGTCAATCTCATTGTTAATGTCAAACCCGTTGTGAATGTCAAACCCATTGTGAATGTCAAACCCATTGTGAATGTCAAACCTGTTGTAAAGGCCAAACCTGTTGTGAATATCAAACCCACTGTAAAGACCAAACCCACTGTGAATGTCAAACCGGTTGTGAATATCAAACCCTTTGTGAAGGCCAAACCCCTTGTGAATGTCAAACCTGTTGCAAAGGCCAATCCCATTTTGATGGCCAGTCTCGTTTTGATGGCCAATCTCGTTTTGATGGCCAAACCTGTTGTGAAGGCCAAACCCATTGTGAAGGCCAAACCCATTGTGAAGGCCAAACCCATTGTGAAGGCCAAACCAGTTGTGAAGGCCAAACCCATTGTGAAGGCCAAACCCGTTGTGAAGGCCAAACTCCTTGTGAATGTCAAACTCCTTGTGAATGTCAAACTCGTTGTGAATGTCAAACTCGTTGTGAATGTCAAACTCGTTGTGAATGTTAAACCCGTTGTGAATGTTAAACCTGTTGTGAATGTCAAACCCGTTGTGAAGGCCAAACCAAAGATATAGCTGCCATTGTGAAAGCTAAATTTAGTTGTAGTAGCTGCCTTTGAAGGCCTTGTGATGTAATGTGAACTACCTCTATAAAAGTTCACTGACAGAGTTTACTTGACCCACACCCTTAATTATAATACTGCAAGATGCATCCTTCCTCTGATACATGTATGAGGTCATTGACCTGTGATACAATGTTATGGTAAATGATATTTGTGAAGTGTTATTGGTAATCTTCTACAAGGCCAGTACTATCACCTATACAGTTACTATATTTGCGCTATCAGAAGCTCAAATGTGAGGCATATTTATTGTGTTAAGTACACTGAACTTTTATATTGATTTACGATTTCAACATTTTCTAAAAAAAATTGTTAAATTATTAAAAAAAATGATACCGTGGAGATTGCAACATTTGTCCAAGATAGCATGTGAACACAACATATAGCAACCACACTGAATGGTTGGTTAACTTTGTATTTCATTTTGGTGCACGTATTGCATGTTTTGCTTTGAATAAAATCCCTAGGCTGTGTTTTCATGTGGAATCAAGTACAATACCGGTAGTAGTATCATTATCAGTAAATATAAATTTAAGGAAATACGCTATATACAGTTTGAAATAATTAATACAATTTGAGAAGCATGTCTTGTTTCCTAAACGTGAAGTAAACTTAGATATATTACGTATTAGATCTTCTGGCAATTGGTAAAATAGAAACCTTGTAAAGTTAGGCAAATTGAATCCATATAATGAGTTCATGTTTGAAAAGTTTCTTTTATGGTATATTCTTCTTGACCAATAGCATCTAAACTTTACTCCCATGTAATGTCATTAAGGAAACAAACTGACCATAAACATAGTCATAACATGGTTCTTCCGGTGACCACATAGTAAACAAACAGTTCATAAGAGTTTATCAGTCTGCACATGGTTAAGTAGGTTGTAGTGGTTTTAAATGGGAGTGATTGCATCACTTTCCTTCAGTCTCCTTAACCATAACAAACCTGAAGACTCAGCTGTTTAAGTATTGAGTGATCACTGTTATTTAATACTTGGTGTATCCAGCTGTTACTGTATCTTTGATGTGTCCTGCTAGCCAATTATGAGATTTCCTGTATTCATTAACGTGTCCTTGGTGTATATGCCCTACCACATATCCATCTCTGGCCTTGTATTTTAAAACAAGATTGTTTACAAACAGGAGAGGAAGTCTGTGGCAACATATTTATTGTGCGTATTATCAATGTTTAGCAGTGATTCAGTTATGTGGAATTGAGAATATGCACAAGGATGATGTTGTTTATTACAGTTCATCTCAAGTTGCCATGTTTCTGACAGTCACGCACATGTCCATATGTAGATTTCATAACTGCAGGCTTGGAACTCTGCCATGCATTATTCTGTGGAAGATGCCAATAGGTACACAGTGTGTGGTTTACATACTTACCAATTAATAGTGACCTAACTGAATAGTAATGTTCACTCTGACAAGTGTTGCTAAATTGTCCTTGTTTATTTGCAATGGTATTTGCATTGTGTGTATTATGGTTTTTGTATCAGTGA